TGGGGCATCTGGGCGAGGGAGGGGGGCAGCGGGGGGCCCTGTGGACGCCCCAAACTCAGGCATTTCTGCCCTGCACAGGGTGCTCCGGGCGAACGAGGTCCTGCTGGCCTCGCAGGTCCCAAGGGAGCCACTGGTGATCCTGGCCGCCCCGGAGAGCCCGGCCTGCCCGGCGCCAGGGTAAGCACTGCAGCGGGGCTGGGGGGGACAGATCCTGCACCCGGGTGGGGTGCAGTACTGGGAGCGGCAGGGTGAGGCCGCACTGAGAGCCGGGATGCAGCAAGGGCTTCCCGTGGGAAGGAGCCTTCCTCCCCTGCCCCGAGCTCACAGGCACCAGGAAACAAGGTGCCCGGCGGCGTCACCAAGCTCCGCGCTGGGTCCTGGGTCTTTCCCGTTAAACGGGCACCTCATTGAGCTGAAGCCACCTGGCCTGGCAGCAGCAGGGTCAGGTTGGCCCAAGCAGCCTCTCCCCGCTGCCTCCTCCCTCGTGGCTGGGAGGAGATCTCAGCCGGGTCAGTGCCACCAGGGGACGGCAGTGATGCACGGTGGCTCACGGTCCCTCTTTGGGGTTGGCGAAGATGCTCTTTGGGGTTAGCCGGATCCCTTGGTGCCTCTTCCGTTAGCTCTAGGACCAGAACACCCGCTTTTCCACATTGGAGGTAGGTTGGACCCCAACACCCAGGACCAGTTACTGCAGCCTGTCATCTATGCTCTTCCCCTTTCTCGCAGGGTCTCACCGGCCGCCCTGGTGATGCTGGTCCTCAAGGCAAAGTTGGCCCAACTGTAAGTGATGCCGGCGGGGGTGAGGAGGGGTGACAGGGTGGTCTAGGACCAGAACACCCGCTTTTCCACATTGGAGGTAGGTTGGACCCCAACACCCAGGACCAGTTACTGCAGCCTGTCATCTATGCTCTTCCCCTTTCTCGCAGGGTCTCACCGGCCGCCCTGGTGATGCTGGTCCTCAAGGCAAAGTTGGCCCAACTGTAAGTGATGCCGGCGGGGGTGAGGAGGGGTGACAGGGTGGCCAGGCACTGCCAGGGCCCGTGCTGACGCCTTGGTCTCCCCACAGGGTGCTCCCGGCGAGGACGGGCGCCC